AGAAATCTGGACATTGGTTACTCTCTGGTGGAGGTAATGACTAGAAGGAGACACAGGGCAGGGTGGGAGGCTTCTCAGATGCTGGTAATAGTTTCTTCAGGTGGGTGCTGGTGACATGAGTAGGTTCAGTTTGAAACACTCAACAGATGAGAGGCATTATAGCAGCAGAGTAGTTGAAGAGCACAGCTCTGGAATTGGAATGCCTGCATTTGAATCTCTATCATTTACTAGTTACAACTTTGGGTAAGTTATTTAACTTTTCTGTGTCTCATTTCTTCATCTATAAAATATGCCTTATATGTACCTCATAGGGCTATTATAAGGACTAAATTGTCATAAGATTTGTTAAGTGCTTATTAGCACAGTAGGCTATTACTAAATGTTTGCTAAGTAAATATAAGTGCTTTATTCTGGAGCAACACAAGAAAATTAGAAAGGGAAACAGAAACATAGGATTTGACTATTACCAGAAAATGCACAAAATTTTTTTTTTTTTTTTTTTTGACACGGAGTCTTGCTCTGTCGCCAGGCTGGAGTGCAGTGGCACTATCTCCACTCACTGCAACCTCTGCCTCTCAGGTTCAAGTGATTCTCCAGCCTCAGCCTCCTGAGTAGCTGGGACTAGAGGCATACACCACCACGCCCCCTTAATTTTTGTATTTTTAGTAGAGACGGGGTTTCACTATATTGGCCAGGATGGTCTCAGTCTCAATTTCTTGACCTTGTGATCCACCCGCCTCAACGTCCCAAAGTGCTGGAATTACAGGCCTGAGCCACCTCACCTGACCTGAAATAATTATTTTGGAAAAGAACGTTATTAACTAAAGTCGAATGTAAAAAGACCTGGAGGTTGTGACTAGTCTGACAAGCTTCCACCTAAATGGACTTTGGAAAAATATCAGCCTCTCTGAGCCTGAAACTCCTGTCAACCAGAGGCCGGTCCTGATGATCTCTAAGATCTTTCCAGCTCCTCAGTACTTATCAAGAAAATGAGTGGAGGCAGTCATGAACTAAGAAGATGGAATTCGCAGTCAGGCTCTCTTATTCTCCAAAAGGAATGCTGAAATCTTCTATTCCTCTGAATTTCATCTAACATGTTTTTAATGTCTATCAGCCATGTCTCCGAGGTTCACATTTCCTGCAGTCATTTAAAATAAATAATTAAGGTTCCCGATGAGTTTTTAAAAGAGCCAGCTGGGTTTCTGTCATCCATGCCATCATAGTGTCCAGAACTTCTTTGGCCACGTTATAATAGCAACTCTTTATTAAATACCTACTTATATGTCAGGCACTATAATAAAAACTATCCCCAATGCTCCAAAAAAAAAAATCTGCTAGGTATATATTATTCTTCCTCCTTATCTTTTACAGGTAAAAAAAAAAAAAAAGTGTCAGGGCCCGGCACAGTGGCTCATACCTGTAATCCCAGCACTTTAGGAGGCTGAGACAGGCAGATCATGAGGTCAAGAGATTGAGACCATCCTGGCCAACATGGTGAAACCACATATCTACTAAAAATACAAAAATTAGCTGGGCGTGGTGGCACGCTGTAGTGCCTGTAGTCCCAGCTACTTGGGAGGCTGAGGCAGGAAAATCACTTGAACCCAGGAGGCAGAGGTTGCAGTGAGCTGAGATCATGCCACTACACTCCAGCCTGGCTACAGAGCAAGACTCCATCTCCCGAGTAGCTGGGACTACAAGCACACACCACCACGCCCAGTTAATTTTTGTATTTTTAGTAGAGATGGGGTTTCACCATGTTGGCCAGGATGGTCTCAGTCTTGATCTGTTAAAAAAAAAAAAAAAAGAAAGAAAAAGAAAAGAAAAGAAAATCGAGGCTGCCCTGCTGATTAGTGGCAGGGCTGGAAGGTGAATCCGCCATATTTGGCTCCGAAGCCCATGTTCCTTTTGTTAAAGATAGATGCTTGACTTTCTTTACAATCGATCATATTTCTTCTTATTTGTGTAATGAAAGGTTATTAGCTTAGGTCATCTAAAACAAGAAGAACCTAATTTAGTGAAAAATCAATTTTGAATATTTTTTTTCTAGTAATGGTATAAGCAATTGAATATTTTTTAAATGATTACTTTGTGTTTCTAAGAAAAGGTTTCTTCCAAGGCCTATTAAAATGAATACTGGGCATTAAAGCTATTTGCATTGAACAGCAGTTATGCAAACCATGTGTTAAAGCCTTCAAAAGACATTGATATTCTTCCCTGCTGCATCCCCAGTGCCCTGATTAGTGCCTGGCCTAGGGTAAGCATTTAAGAAAACATACTGAATATCATTCTCCTCAAATCTTGTTTACCAAAATACTCTACTACTACTGAGGGTGCATTCCAACAAGATACTTTATTATCTGAAAAACTTCATGCCCCAAATCAGACATAATATGGTCACTGGTATATCCCCTCTGCTGTGGGTCATTCTCCTCTAGGTCAAATGGCACTATTAACATCAGTGACAAGTAATTATCAAACACCTACAGTATTTATTTTATACAGTACATCTTCATTTAACTTGGTATGCCTTCCCGACTGTCTCTTTCCTCATCAGGTTTGAGAAGCCTCAGTCAAGTTCCTCCCCAGGCAGGCCAGCCTGTATGTAGTAGAGACTACACAGAGATACAAATGTCACACGTGATTAGGCAGCTTTTCCAAGCTAAACAAACACAAAAGCTCCAGAACTTTGGCCTTTCCCCCAACAAGACTCATAACCTATCACCTCTTCCTGGAGCCCCGAAATTGCAACTGTAACGTAACCTCTTCCTCAGTCCCCTGCCCAACACTGAGAAAATCAGAAATATCCCCCAATGTCTGTGATACTTATTCCTACTTTATCTATTAATTAAAAAGGCACTGTGTTCACCAAGGAATGTGTAAGCATATACTGCTAAAATTTTCTTTAAAAACTGAATGTTCAGGGTGGGTGCAGTGGCTCACATCTGTAATCCCGGCATTTTAGGAGGCCAACGCAGATTGCTTGAGGCCAGGAGTTCAAGACCAGCATGAGCAACATAGCAAGACTCTGTCTCTACAAAAAATTTTTAAAATTAGCTGGAGGCATGGTGGTGCATGCCTGGAGTCTCAGCTACTCAGGAGGCTGAGGCAGGAGAATCACTTGAGCCTGGGAGGTCAAGGCTACAGTGAACCACGATCACGTCATTGCACTCCAGCCTAGGTGACAAAGCAAGACTCTATCTCTAAAAGAACAAAAATAAAAACTCTATGTTCATAAGGGTGCACAGAATATCTGTGTACTACAGGGAAGTGTACCAGAATGAGGTTCTGTTCCATTACCTTACCTTCCTATGTAACTTGGCCAAGTCACTTACCTTCTCTAGGCTTTAGTTTCCTCAGCCATAAAATGAGATGTGGAACTACATCAGGGATTATTCACCTAGTTCCAGATGCCTTGAGGAATTCAGGCATGTGCTTCAGGGTTCATAACTCCTCCTTCCTCTCAAACTTATATAAAAATTACCTGTTTGCATACATGAATTTTTCCGGAGGTAAAATCTATAGCTTATATCAAATTGTGTCACAACTGTGATAAAAAAAAATAACCATAGCTCATATTTTATTGAGCACATACTTCATGTTAGGCACTGTGCTAAGTCCTTATATATATTAATTCATGTAATACAATAATATTTTTAAAATTTTTGTGTATAACATATATAGTAGTGTATATATTTATGGGGTACATAAGATATTTTGATACAGGCATGCAATGAGAAATAAGCACATCATGGAGAATGGAGTATCCATCCCCTCAAGCATATATCCTCTGAGTTACAAACAATCCAATTACTCACTTTAACTTATCTTAAAATATACTTTTTGTTTTGTTCTGTTTTTTGAGATAGTCTTGCTCTGTCGTCTAGGCTGGAGTGTGGTGGTGCAATCTTGGCTCACTGCAACCTCCGCCTCCTGGGCTCAAGCGATTCTCCTGCCTCAGCCTCCCAAGTAGCTAGGACTACAGATGTGCACCATGCCAGGCTAATTTTTGTATTTTAGTAGAGAGGGCGTTTTACCATGTTGACCAGGCTGGACAAGTAGTAGGTCTTATTCAATTTATTTATTTATTTATTTATTTTGGTACGCTCAAAGTAGATACTGTTATTATCCCCATTTTAGAGAAAGTAAATCAGAAAGAACCCAGGCTCTTAAACAACAATGCTAATAGAGGTGAGATCATCTCAAAGCCCTAAAATTCTATGTCCTTTCAATTTATACAATTCTCCTCTGGTTAAATTCTCTGTTCTGTTCTGCAATCTTTGGTCATGCCCCAAATACTATTATATCTTTACATAAACAACACCTAGATTACTCCTATCTGAAAAAAATCTCCTGGAACACCTAGATTATTACTATCTGAAAAAGAATATATTAGGTTAATCTGAGAAAAGGATCCAAAGGCACTTTCCAGCACCAGTCTCCAATGAGCTTTTTCTTTTACTATCTGGTGATTAACCAGAAGATGGATTTGGGTCTAATTACTAATTAAAGTCTAAGATCAAAGTAACAGTAAATATAGCCCGAGTGTCAGCCAGGAAAAGGGGATGCAGTGGCAGGAATAGCGTCTCACACTCCACTTACCAAATCAATGAGAAGATCCAGAAAGATGCATCAGTGCAAGCCTGGGTGTCCCATGTTGACTAACATCTCCCCTCACCCCTACCTCCTGAAAACCACTGACCACTGTGCAGACGAGCCCTGGATCACTCTTCACTTGAGATACAAAAGCTGGTTAAGGTATTAACCATCACCAACTCCAGCACAGAATAAGGAGTGAAAACTAAGTGAAACCTAGCTCCAATTTTTGTCGCGACTGGAACACGGGGTTCATTCAGCTACACCTGAAAACTGTTTTGCCGGCCAACCTCCTCATGCTAAATTACCCAGCGACATAACATTGCTTAATAAAAGGCTGCAAAGCAGAAGCGGACGTTGTTGGTTCTTTTCACAGGCTGTCAAAAAAACCTCCACATCTTAAAGGGAAGGTTGGGGAAACTTTATCCCCAACTCTCATGACCTTTCTCCAATTAGGCTGTGTAATGAGAAGAAAGGCAAACGAAGGAGAAAGGAGTTCGGAGGAACGGCCCTGGGTGCTGGCCTTTTCCAAAGGTGATGCAACAGGGTCAGACAGAAGAGGAGGAGGAGGAGGTGGGAGCTCCTGGGAAAGAAACACCGTGTCGGCGTTGGAAATCTAAGGGGGAATGGCTTAGCAGGACCGGCGGCAGGGTTATTTAGAAAGGGAGGGGCACAAGGTCTGGGAGAGAAGGGCGGTGAGAGGCCCGAAGGAAGGGGCACGGACCCAAAGGCCAGAGGAAGCAGAGGGAGCACAGACGGTTCGGGCAGGCAAGGGTGCGCTTCGAGGGGGCCTCGGAAAGACAGTCAGGGGAGCACGAAGTGACCTGCTCGGAGGTGTGGGAGGTGGGGACAGCAGGCCAGGAGAGCCCTCGAGGGGAGAGAAAAAGCCCAGGGGGCTGTTAGGGTGGGGGAGAGACTCGCGGCATCGGCGCCAGGGCAGACGGGCCCAGGGCGGGGGGAGCACAGAGCGGCGACAACGGTCGGCGACGGCGGGCGCGTGGGGAGGCTGTCCGGGCTCGAGTTGAGGCAGGGGCTGACACGGAGTCCCGGCTCGGGGCTGGAGAGAGGGAGGCCGGGCCCGGAGCGCGGCGTCAGGGAGGAGGTCGGAGAGGGTTAGGAAGGACCCGGGACCGCCGGGGGCTGGCGTTGGCGCTCTCACCGGGACAGGTGTTTCAGGATCTGCTTCTTAATGATCCCGGCCATGCCGGAGCCGCGGCCCGCGTGGAAGGCGGGTGGGCGGACAGCTGTGGCCTCTTCAGTTGTGGAGAAGAGGCGGCCCCCTCACCTCGCCGCGGCGTGACCACCGAACACTGCCGCTGCCGCAGCCGCCATGGCGCTCTCTCCCCTGCTCGGGCGCCTGGCGCTCCGCCAAGATCCCACCCACCCGCGCGGCGCCGCGGCAGCCGGCCCGGAGCGACGCGAAGATCGCGCGCCACCCACCGGCCTAGCTCGCGGCTGCCAGAGGCGCGCGCTGTGAGGGGCGGTGGCGCGCGTAGCGCCGGGGCGGGCGGGCTCGAGCCTCCTCCCTCCGCGCTCTCATCTCCCACTCTGATCTGAAAGGCTTCTTTCGCCTCTGAGGGGCGTGCGGTTCCTCTCGCATTCGGCAGTCGCCTGGAAGCCAAGGGGAAAGGCGGGGTAGTTGTAATTTTTGCAGAAATTCATTAGATCATTGCGCAGCTCCCGGATGCCAGCGGCCGCCGCTCATTTATTTCCCTCACACATTCACTCAGTATTTCTTGAGCACCAGCTGTACTCCAGGAATCAGGCTGGGGACGGAAAAGTAGTCTCAAGGACCTCACAGACCCTGAGAGGGGAGACGCAAACCAACCGCTGCGGTCAGCTGCTAAGGGCTTTGTGCTGCAGAGCTAGGAAGGGGACGCCCGTCAGTCATCCTCTTGGTGCCGCCCTTAGCCTCGGCTCCTGAACCGAAAGGCAAATAGTCACTTAAGACCTGAGCGGCACACTGCAGAAGCACCCCCTCCTAAATGTGGGGTCAGAAGAAAATGAGACCGTCAGTTGTTAAAATGACCGAGGACTTCAGAGATCAGCTTCTTTACTGTGCAGATACGGAAAAGGAAGCCCAGGGAAGTAAGAGCTTTCCCAAGGTCACCTACTTAGGGCCACCTAGGGCTAGAATCCAAGTGTTCTGACTCCCAGTCAAGTGTTATTTCCACTCTATTTCACCCATACGCTTAAAAGTGTAACCCACATGCCGGCGACACCCGTAGACCCAATGGCAAAGATGGAAAGGTGACAGTTCTCTGGACTTAAGCCTTCAAGCAAAAACTTGGGGGGAAAAGAAAAAAGCTCTTGAGACAGCCTTATAGGAAGTCTGGCCACCAGCTAATATTACATTTTAATTGTAGTCATTCTTGCGTATATGTAATATAAAACCAAAGGCAATCAACCATGTCTGTCTCCCCAGTCCCTCAGCCATTTAGAGTGCTCCAAAACAATTGTTTCCCTCAAAACAATTACTCCCTAATTCCAGAGATAGTCTAAGCATAATGTTTTTTATTTTATTTTATTCTTTTTTTAAATGTTGAATTTTAAAAACAAATAATCAGGTCAGTCGCGCTGGCTCTCCCCTGTAATCCCAGCACTTTGAGAGGCCAAGACAGACGGATCGCTTGAGCCCAGGAGTTCAAGACCAGCCTAGGTACCATGACAAAATCCCAAGTTATCCGGGTGTGGTGGCACGTGCCAGTAATCCCAGCTACTTGAGAGGCCGAGGTGGGAGGATCCCTTGAGCCTGGGAGACATTGGTTGCAGTGGTGCACCACTGCACTCCAGTCTGGGCGACTGACCAAGACTGTCTCAAAAATACTAGACCATGTATTCCTATGCCTATCCCTTAGTCATAGTAAGTTCATTTTTTCCCTAAAGTCCCCAAAATATTATATAAAAGGGCAGCAAATCATCCTTGGCCCAGGTGCTTTACTACCCACTCCCCTCCAGTAGGACTGAATATTAATCGTCCCTCTGCCCACCTCTCACCAGAATATATAACAGGGACCAATAGGGCCTATGGAGAAGGTTTTTTTGCCAAGGTTATTGGTCATTGTTGCTTTATTCCAATTCAGTCCTCAGCCAGGGGGTCTCAAGCAATTTTTGCATTTCAGCCAGGGGGTCTCAAGCAATTTTTGCATTTCAGGCTTCCTTTCCTGGAGCACCCCAGCAAAGAAGATTGGACATCTGAATCAGCTATGTAAGGCAAAACCTACCTCATGCTCAGAGAGTCAGTATCCTCCCTGAATGCGTCATCATGCCTGTTGAATGAGTTATTTTTGTTGAATGCAAAAATTCGTGCTCTAAAAAATATGGCCTCTTTAGGGACCAGGAACTAGAAGAGTTGATACTCTCACCAACAGTATTAATGTGTTTATCCTTCCCTGCAATTCTAAGAATCCAAGACATACAAAGAAAAAAGAGATCTGAAGCCAATCCATTTTTTTTCAAATATTTTATATTGAGATGATTATAGATTAACATTCAGTTGTAAGAAATAATACAAATAGGCCGGGCGCAGTGGCTCATTCCTATAATCCTAGCACTTTGGGAGGCCAAGGCAGGCAGATCACTTGAGGTCAGAAGTTGGAGACCAGCCTGGCCAACTCCTGGTTGTTTACCAACAATGGTAAAACCCTGTCTCTACTAAAAATACAAAAATTAGCTGGGCATGGTGGCACACACCTATAGTCCCAGCTACTTGGGAGGCTGAGGCAAGAGAATCGCTTGAACCCAGGAAGCAGAGGCTACAGTGAGTGGAGATCATGCCCCTGCCTGGGTAACAGAGCAAGACTCTGTAGCAAATAAAAATGATACAAATAAGTTATTGTATCCTTTACCTAGTTCTCCCCAATAATAACATCTTATAAAACTATATTGCAATATCACAACCAAGATATTGACATCAATGGATAATATACAGAACATGTCCATCACTGTTGCCCTTTTATTTTTATTATTTTTTTTTTGAGATGGATTCTCACTCTGTTGCCCAGGCTGGAGTGCAGTGGTGTAATCTCAGCTCACTGCAACCTCTGCCTCCCGGGTTCAAGCGATTCTCTTGCCTCAGCCTCCTGAGTAGGTGGAATTACAGGCGTGTGCCACCACATCTGGCTAATTTTTATATTTTTAGTAGAGACAGGGTTTGACCAAGTTGGCCAGGCTGGTCTCGAACTCCTGACCTAATGATCCACCCACCTAGGCCTCCCAAAGTACTGGGATTACAGGTGTGAGCCTCTGTGCTGGCTACTGTTGCCCTTTTATAATCACCCCAATCTTCCTCCAGTACCCACCACCTCCTTACCCCCAGCAACCACTGTGTTCTCCATTTCTATAATTTTGTAATGTCAATAATGTTATAGAAATGGAACTATACAGTACATAACCTTTGGGGATTGTACTTTTTCTTAGTAATTTAAAAAATTAATTTATTTTTAGTTATCACTTTTAGAAATGGGGTCTCACTCTGTTGTTGCCCGGGCTGGAATGCAGTGGTGCAATCGTAGCTCACTACAGCCTCTACCTCCTGGCCTCAAGTGATCCTTCCACCTCAGCTTCCTGAGTGGCTGGGACTACAGGCACATGCCACCATGCCTGGCTAATTGTTTTATTTTTGGTAGAGACTGCATCTTGCTATGTTGCCCAGGCTGGCACTGAACTCCTGGGGTCAAGTGATCCTCCCACTTCAGCCTCCCAAATAGCTGAGATTATAGGTGTGAGCCACCATGTGTTCAGCCTGATGGTACTTTTTCCATCAGCATAATTCTCTGGAGATTCATCCAGGTAGTTATGTGTATGAATAGTTTGTTTCTTTTAACTAATGAGTAGTTTTCCATGATATAGATATACCAGTTTGTTTAACCATTCACCTGCCAAAGGACATCTGGGCTGTTTCCAGTTCATTATTATTACAAATAAGCCTGCTATAAATATTTGTGTACAGGTGTTTATGTGAACATAAGTTTTCATTTTGCTAGGATAAGTGCCTAGGAGCTGGGTTGTATGGTAGTTGAGTGTTTATCTAAAAACTGCCAAGCTGGTATTCAGAATGACTATATCATTTCACGTTCCCACTAGCAGTGTCTAAGTGATCCAGTTTCTCTGTATCTTCACCATCATTTGATGGTGTCACTGTATTTATTTTAGTCATTTGATAGGTGTGTAGTGATAGCTCATTGTAGTTTTGATTTGTATTTCCATAATGGCAATGACACTGAATACCTTTTCATGTATTTGCCATCTATGTATCTTCTTCAGTGAAATCCCTCTTCATGTCTTTTGCCCACATTCTAATTGGATTTTATTTATTTATTTATTATTTTTTTTGAGACGGAGTTTCGCTCTTGTTACTCAGGCTGGAGTGCAATGGCACGATCTCGGCTCACCGCAACCTCCACCTCCTGAGTTCAGGCAATCCTCCTGCCTCAGCCTCCTGAGTAGCTGGGATTACAGGCACACGCCACCATGCCCAGCTAATTTTTTGTATTTTTAGTAGAGATGGGGTTTCACCATGTTGACCAGATGGTCTCGATCTCTTGACCTTGTGATCCACCGGCCTCGGCCTCCCAAAGTGCTGGGATTACAGGCGTGAGCCACCGTGCCCGGCTGGATTTTCTTTTTTTATTCTTGAGTTTTGAGAGTTCTTTATATATTCAGAATACTAGTCTCGTTAGATATGTCATTTGCAAATTTTTTTTTTTTTTTTTTGAGGCAGGGAGTCACTCTGTCATCCAGGTTGGAGCGCAGTGGCATGATCACACCCATTGCAGCCGTGACCTCCAAGGTTCAAACAGTCCTCCATCTGAGCTCCCTATACCAACCCGAATAGCTGGTACTACAGGCATGTGCCATCACACCCAGCTAATTTTTGTATTTTCTGTAAAGAGAGAGTTTCACCATATTGCCCAGACTGGTCTCAAATTCCTGGGCTTGAGTGATCCATTCACGCTGGCCTCCTGAAGTGCTGGGATTACAGATGTGAGTCACAGGACTGGGCCTTGGAAATATTTTCTCACAGTCTGTAGCTTTTTTCCTCTTAATATGTGTTTTGTGTCCAAGAGTGATCGCTCACGACTGTAATTCTAACACTTAGAAGGTGACGTAAAAAGATCACTTGAAGCCAGGGTTTCAAGACCAGCCTAGGTAACAACAATAACAAATTAAAATTAATTTTAAAACCAGGTGTTTTGTAGGGCAATAGTTTTTAATTGTGACAAAAAAATCAATTTTTTATTTGGCATGATCTCTCAGCTCACTGCAACCTCTGCTTCCCAGGTTCAAGCAATTCTCCCTGCTTCGGCCTCCGGAGTAGCTGGGATTACAGGTGCCTGCCACTGCACCCAGCTAATTTTTGTATTTTTTAGTAGACATGGGGTTTGGCCATTTTGGCCAGGCTGGTCTTGAACTCCTGACCTCAGGTGATCCACCCATCTTGGCCTCCCAAAGTGTTGGGATTACAGGTGTGAGCCACCGCATACAGCCAAAATTCAGTTTTTAAATGTTTCTTTTTCTGGATCATGTTTTGTTGTCAAATATAAGAACTCTGCCTAGCCCTACATCCCAAAAATTCTTTTTTTTCCCTAAAACTTTTATAGTTTTTTATATTTTACATTTTGTCCATGTGAACCATTTCAAATCTTTTTTTTTTTTTATTTGTTTGTTTATTTTTGAGATGGAGTCTGCTGCCCAGGCTGAAATACAATGGCATAGTCTTGGCTTACTGCAACCTCTGCCTTTTGAGTTCAAGCGATTCTCCTCCCTCAGCCTCCCAAGTAGCTGGGATTACAGGTGCCCAACACCACACCCAGCTAATTTTTGCATTTTTAGTAGAGACAGGGTTTCACCATGTTGGCCAGGATGGTCTCCAACTCCTGACCTCGTGATCCGCCCACCTCAGCCTCACAGTGCTGGGATTACAGGTGTGAGCCACCGCACCTGGCCAAGAGTTTAAGTTTTATACTTCACTGAATATGAACAATACCAATGGCTTCCTTTCTAGATGCTTTCCCTGGAAATATGCTACTTTTACAGCTTAGTTATGTAACAAACAGAATTCTATAAACACCTTCTGGGCCAGGCGCAGTGGCTCACTCCTGTAATCCCAGCACTTTGGGAGGTCAAGGCAGGAGGATCACTTGAGCCCAGGTCAAAGCTGTAGTAAGCTATGACTGAGCCCCAGCCTGGGCAATAGAGACCCTATCTCAAAAAATAAAAAACCTTCTGTAACATAGAAATCTGTGTAATTTTACCAATGCCACAGAAAATTTTCAGTCTAGGTGCAGTGGCTCACATCTATAATCCTAACATTTAAGGAGGATAAAGCAAAAGGAATGCTTGAAACCAGGAGTTCCAGACTAGCATGGCCAATATTGTGAGATAATATCTCTAATCTAAAGTTGTTTTGGGTTTTTTTTTTTTGAGATGGGGTCTTGCTGTATCACCCAGGCTGGTTCGTAATGGTGCAATCTCAGCTCACCACAATCTACGCCTCCCGGGTTTGAGTGATTTTCTCACCTCAGCCTCCTGAGTAGCTAGGATTACACACACACACCATCATGTCCAGCTACTTTTTGAACTATCTGTCTGTCTGTCTATCTAGAGATGGAGTTTCTTGTTGCCCAGGCTGGAGTGGAGTGCAACGGTGCGATCTCGGCTCACCACAACCTCTGCCTCCCAGGTTCAAGCGATTCTCTTGCCTCAGCCTCCCGAGTAGCTAGGATTACCAGCATGCCTGGCTAATTTTGTATTTTTAGTAGAGATGAGGGTTCTCCTTGCTGGTCAAGCTGGTCTCGAACTCCTGACCTCGGGTGATCCGCCCACCTCAGCCTCCCAAAGTGCTGGGATTACAGGTGTGAGCCACTGTGCTTGGCCTAATTTTTGTATTTTTAGTAGAGATGGGGTTTCACCACACTGGTCAGGCTGGTCTGGAACTCCTGACCTCAGGTGATCCACCTGCCTTGGCCTCCCAAAAGTGCTGGGATTACAGGCGTGAGCCACCATGCCTGGCCTTAAAGTTATTTTTTTTTAAAGGAGAAACTTTTCAGATTATTTGAGCCCAAGAGAGAGGGGAGCTGAGAGAAAGGAGAAGCTGAGGTTAGGATAGTTCTTGCCATTCTTGGCTGACAGACACACACATGAACTATTTTCCCTTACTTCAGCATAAAAGACTTAAAATTTTCCACTTACTATACAAAGTGTTATTCATGTGAAAAATTAACCAAGCTGTTTAGTGGTTTAACCAACAAGCTCTACAAGTGCTAGATTAGTCCTGCATACAAGATGACTTTAGTAAATAAAGGGAGGATGCCTTTATTTACTAAAGAGATTTGCTATAGCTAAGGAAAAAGAATCTCATGCAGAGGACATGAAGAGATAATGAACTAGAGAAACAGAACTGCAATGTTTCGTTTCTTTTTCTTTTTTTAGTGCTTATTTCACTGCATCATTTCTTTTATACACAGAGAATACAGAGGGGAGGAAAAAGGGAAAACACTTTTAACTAAAAGAGTTGACAGTTTTATTTTTACATTTCCCAATACAAATGAAAACTGCATCTTTTTGCCCCACCTCTCCCCTCCAAAACTATTCTCTTTGATCAGACAGGGGAGCAAGTCTTCCTTATGCTGTTTAGAAAACCCAGCATCACAGCAGCATGATCTCCTGGTGAAGCCGAACAGGTAATATAAAACTGACAGAATGAGGCCTCCCCTCTATCCTTATCTGTCTGGTCGAGTCATTCCAGGCCGAGTGGGCACCATCATGGGACGGGCAGGAGGTCTCATCATTGGGGGCCCAGGCATCATTGGCATATGGCCTCCCATGGGTGGCCTCATTCCAGGAGCTGCAGGATAAAACAAAGAAGATGGAAAAAAAGGGGAGTCAGAAAAAACCATTTAGGGAGAGTTTTATGGGACTTCAATTAAAAACAAAAAATGTAGCCCCCCCTTGCAAAATGCTGGAAAAAAGACATACGTGACAGAAGAAATGCAACAAATTTATCACATCTGTAAATTACTTAGACATTCTCAAACAAAAAACAAAAAGGTCAACACAAGAATCATATGGGAATCATGATGTAATGATAGTGAGGGGGAACTACTAACAGACTGCTTTCCAGAAATCACCAGGGACACTAGTTCCCTAAATCGACCTTTTTTTCTTACTCAGGGAAATTCACAACTAAGTCACAGGTTTTTCAGTCAGCTCTTTTAATCAGTTATATCCACCTATATATAACCAGGAGCTATTTCATGAATGTACACAGGCACAGAGGACAATCTTACCACTAAGCGTTTGTTCGGAGTTGTAGGAAAGGTGAGCAGGAGGCCCATGCTGAGAACCTGTTAGTAACCATACTTAGCTCAAGTCAATAAAAATAATAGGCAATAAAGTGATTTATAACAATTATCGCACATAAAAATCTGATTTTTCTAATGCATTTCAGAAACTATTAATGAATGTTTTTAAGTGTCCCATCAATAAACCAGCCAAATAAATAAGCCAGGGAGGGGAGGGCAAGCAGAAGGGTAGGGGAGGAACACAGGCAGTTTCAATGGAATTGATAATGTTCTACTTCTCAGCTGGGTGGTGGGTTCATGGATATTCATTTTACTATTATGCCCCATAATTTCATGTTATCAATATTATTTTTAAATATCAAATTTTACCAATTTATTTTTAACTAAATAATTTTGAGTAAAGCTTTGCAGCAAAGGTACAAGAGAAAACTATATTCAAACTTGAATATAGCCTTATCACAAATGGTGAAACACAAAAATATGCAAAGACACAAAATCCAACAGGTACAGAATTTAAGACCAATTTAAACAGGAACAGAAAATACTACTAACTTCTAAATACCACATAAAGGCCCATGCTTAACCTATATTTAAGAATTTCTTAGAAGAAATGGATGGACATAAACCAAAGATTAAAAACTGGGCACCTGAAAACTTGTTTTCTTTGGTCTCCATAGCGGATTTACTTTTAATCAGTTGGTAACATTGGGATTTCATACAGAAGTCTAGATTCCTTTTTTCTTTTAAATTTATTATTATGAAAATGTTCAAACATACACAAGAATAGTAAAGAAGAATAGAATGAACATCCATGTATCCATCATCCAGCTTTAACAATTATCCACTCACGGACAACTTTATCTATAATCCCACCCATTCCTATCCCAGTGCAACCTCCAACTACTCAATTATTTTAACACAAATCCCACTATCTTATCATTTTATCCTGGCTTGAAAAAACAGAAAACAAAAAGCAGACTCAGGAGAAAAGGCAACACCAAGCCTTATTCTCGAATGTCAACCATAGGCTGAAGTTGAGTTCCAGAAGCCTTCTTTAGATGAATCTGTATTCCTCAGTTACCACATCCCTAAAAACTCTAAGAATTTGAATTTGTGACCCTGATTTCAGATGCTAAAGCCACTGAAGTCATTTGATTGTGTTTTGGGCTCACAAGTCAGCAAGGCAGGAGCTCTCTTTATCTATACTCTCCCCGATACCCACAGCAGATATACTGATAATTCTGGCCAGGAAGCCACTCTATAATAACTTTGCAGCTTGTATTTCCAGAGTAGTTGGAGGCGTCGGCCACATCTGTTCCCAAACCTGATTATGTCCGATGTAGTTATTACTCTAATTATATATATAATTTAAGTTTTCTGCAAACCAATTAAATGAGTGTGAAAAGAGAACAGTTTCTAAAACTAATTTGATACTTAGACTCTTAGATACTTAGATAAGTCACCAAAAAATGTTCAAAAATTTTGTAGGCAAAATAATAATAAAAGATTGGAACTAGGACTCAGATCACTTGAAAGAAATGAAACTAAAGTTGGTGAACGATGTGTTACAGTTATGGCTTATTGGTTTATGCAATAAATATATAGTGTTCCAATCATTAGACACACTCTCAAAGCAAAGGACCTGTTCGCATATCAGAAATATTTGCAAATTGGTGTATGTTTAAATTTACATTAAAATAAAATGTTTGAAGCCTAAGTTTTTCCCCTCCTTAAATAAAAAACCAACTACCAGGCTGAAAGCCTTTTTAATATAATGATGAGGCCAAGTTAATCTGCAAGATTAAACAAGCAACAAGAAGTGGCTCTGCTCCAAATCAAAACTGAGAAAATGTAATGTATCTATAATCTTCCCTCTCCTCTCAAAATGAAACAAGCTTATCTACTCTTCTCTTCACTGTACATAAATGGCCAAAAGCCAGGATGAGGCAAGTAAACAGAGAGAAGAAATGAAAAACAGAGGCAACCTGTCCTGCTTTTAGTAGCACAAGGTCACTGGATACCATTCATTTATACTGATAAATCAAGTATTTCTTTTTGTGTAAATTACCATTAATGACTGACCAAATTTAATTTGTTATAATAGTACAGGCAGACAGCTAATTAAGAATTCCATTAAACTGGAAAAAAAACACAATGGAGCAAACTAAAAAGACATCTAAACTTACCAGGTCCCACCGGCATCATCCCAGGAGGAGGAGGGCCCATCATTGGCATCATGGGAGGGCCCCCCATATGGGGTGCTGGCATCATACCAGGGCGAGGAGGACCCGCTGAAATAAAGAATGGGGCCTGTGGTTAAGGTGTGCTCATATATTAATATTTTCTCTTCTTAATCAAACTAAAAGGATCTCATGAACTCCTTCAAATTCTGAAAGAACAGACCTTTTATGGTTTCTTTTTAGAATAGCAGATCCACAAAAATCACATGCCATAAAACATTGATCTACGAATAAAAAGCAAGAACAAGCCTGCCTAGACAGAAGAATAAAATAAAGTTAGATTTTCTAGGTTAAGAAAAAATTGAGATTTTAATTAAAAAAAAAAAAAAATGGGGGGTGGAGAGGTTTTACCTTCTATAGAACTCCTGACAAAAAGCTGATGAACTTAGGCCACAAGTGTCTAATTTCAGATGACTTTGTAAAAAATAAAAACACGGTTTTAAAAGATTCTTTGGAAATACAAAAACTTATATGCAGGGATATTCCTGACAGTATCATTTACAATAGCTAAAATTTGGAACAACTGAAATATCCAATAAGAAAAGAGCAAGGTAAATTAGTACATTCATACCATAGACTATTCTGCTATCAAAAATAGAGTTGAGTGCTAGCCAGTCAAGGCAGAAAGGAGAGAGAAGAAACCCTGCAGTTGCTATGGGCTGAGGCCTGACCAGGTCCCAGGATGTCAGGCGTCCAGAAAAGGTTTGGCAGGCTATTAGTGGTCCACCTACATTAGAGTGCAACTATTACAAACAGCCTGCTTCCCTAGGTTTATACCCGTGATTGTGTGCAAGACTGAGTCTAGGTCTCTGAATGTGATTTCAGTCTGAACCCTCCCAGGAAAGCCACAGTACAGTACGACCTAGTACAGCACTCAGTCTCCTCTTGTCTGCCACACAGAAACAACAAACTTTCCCAGAAAGCTGGGCCTATGATCCACTCCACTTTCCCACTTTCAATGATCTAATTCTTATCTTCTGTTTTTTTTTTTTTTCAGTCTTGCTGTGTTGCCTAGGCTGGTGTGCAGTGGCACAATCTCAGCTCTCTGCAACCTACGCCTCCTGAGTTCAAGCAACTCTCCTGCCTTAGCCTCCTGAGTAGCTGGGACTATAGACATGCACCACCATGCCTGGCTAATTTTCATATTTTTAGTAGGAACAAGGTTTCACCATGTTGGCCAGGCTGGTCTCAAACTCCTGATCTCAGGAGACAGAGTTTCAGGAGACCCATCTGCCTTGGCTTCTCAAAGTGCTGGGATTACAAGTGTGAACCACCACGCTCAGCCTAATTCTCATCTTTCATAAGATACAGATTTTGGTGTTAGGTGGGTTAGAAAATAGGGCAAAAGACAAGGAGTTTAATCAGCAATTTCAGTCCTCCATTGCTGTATTCATAGCAGTAAATAATTTAATATACCTAGCAACTCCTATTCATATATTAGCTCATCGAATCAGAGGTTCATTCCGAGCTTTCTTTCCATTTAAGTCTGTCTCAGATTCACACTTGGGATGCCATAAACACAATATCTTAGTGACAATGCAATCAAAAGTTAACTCTAAGCCGCGCACGGTGGCTCAAGCCTGTAATCCCAGCACTTTGGGAGGCCGAGGAGGGTGGATCACGAGGTCAAGAGATGGAGACCATCCTGGTCAACACGGTGAAACCCCATCTCTACTAAAAATACAAAAAATTAGCTGGGCATGGTGGCGTGTGCCTGTAATCCCAGCTACTCAGGAGGCTGAGGCAGGTGAATTGCCTGAACCCAGGAGATGGAGGTTGCTGTGAGCCGAGATCACACCATTGCACTCCAGCCTGGGTAACAAGAGCGAAACTCTGTCTCAAAAACAAAAAAAGTTAACTCTAAAGTTATTTTAGAAATTATACCACTAAAGTCGTTTTCTATTACTACCTGCATCTATATTCAACATTTATATATTGATATATTTATATTACTAGCTACATATAAATTCAAGAGCATTTGAAAGCCAAAGGTGAGATAATCTAACATAATCAAAGGATAGCCTGCCCAGTCACACCCCTTAAAAGTTTAAACTTACGAAGACTTGGGGGAGGTGGTATCATCGCCCCTGCAGGAGGAGGAGCAGAGAATGGAGTAGGAGGTATCTTTCCTTGTTGAAATGCAGCCGCTTTGGAAATGAGGGTGAGGAAAAAAAAAGATGAATAAGAATTCAACAACCAAATAACTAAAATGCCACTTTCTTTTAAGTCTTTAATGGTTCCAATTACTTTATTCTTGCTAGTTTGTTTTTTTTAATCTATTATACTTTAAGTTCTGGGGTATGTGTGCAGATCGTGCAGGTTTGTTAACAGGTGTACACATGCCATGGTGGTGGTTTGCTGCATCCGTCACCCCATCTTCTACATTAGGTATTTCTTCTAATGCTACCCCTCCCCAATTCCCCCACCCCCTGCTATTCCTCCCCCTAGGCCCCGGCGTGTGATGTTCCCCTCCCTGTGTCCATGTGTTCTCGCTGTTCAACACCCACTTATGAGTGAGAACATGCGCTAGTTTTCATCTAAAGCTACTATATCATGGTTCTACAGTTTTAAAATCATTTTCAGGTATTCACCAGCTAAAATTGCAAATAATTGATTTGTTGATTTACATTTTCTACTTAGCAGTTCTATGGTTAAATTAAATAAGGGAGACTGGAGTAAAAATTTCCTGTGTATCAATATCTTCTCTTTTTTTTTTTTTTGAGACAGAGTCTCACTGTCACCCATGCTGGAGTGCAGGGATAATCACAGCTCATGACAGCCTCAACCTTCCCGGCTCAGGTGATCCTCTCACTTCATCCTCCTGAGTAGCTACAGGTGTACAGCACCATGCCTGGCTAACTTTTCTACTTTTTGCAGAGATGGGGTTTCTCCCTATTGCCCAGGTTGGTCTCAAACTCCTGAGTTCATGTGATCCACCCACCTCGGCTCCCCAGAGTGCTAGGATAATAGGCATGAGCCACCACATCTGGCTCTATCAGTATCTTTTACCAAAGAAGAACAATCTTCTTTAATTTGTAGATGTGGTTTATAACCAATTCAAGCCATTCATAGTTTTGTTTGAAAAAGTATAAGACATGCCCCAAAAGCTAGGCTTTATGAAATTTCCATCCTTCCTATGTATGCTGTCCTAGGTAAAAATAATACACCAAGTTGGTTTACCAGTTTGGAAATCAATGCACTAAACTAGGAGACTTAAAAGAAACAACGATTTCAAACTATAAGCTTGCCCCAAAAAAGATTATGATTTTTCAAAAGTCTAATACAATCAATTTTTAATTTTTTTTTTCAGATAATGAGGCACAAGAGAAACTGAAGATCATCTATATTTGATTTTGGAAAAGAATCACAAATAAATTTTAAAGTACACACTAATAAAGTCTATTCCTGACATAAGGTCCTGCCAATATAGTGCTGTCTACAGGTCATCTACTTCACTCCGACCAAGCCAAAGGAAGTCAAATTACTCAAGTCAATTACTGATGATTCATTGGATCATATCCAAAAAAGTGACCTAGCAGAGATTTATGAATAGCTTATTATCCATATGCCTCTGAATAAAGCCTGTGGATCTCAGGGATTATATCCCAACATGGACTTTTTAATCAAGAAGGCCTCTCTCACATCCTTTGTAGGAGGATGGCTTCTAAAGGCTGAAGTGGGGAAAGCAAAGTCACTGGCTCAGCAGCAGACTCTGTCAACATAATCATGGATTTCATGGGGTGTGTCCCCGAAGGGCTCTCCTAGTCTTCTCAAAAAGTCCTCCACTAAAAATGTTTATTCTGACTAGCCTTACAACAAAACAAAATCAAGGCCGGGCGCGGTGGCTCACACCTATAATCCCAGCACTTTGGGAGGCCGAGGCAGGAGGATCACGAGGTCAAGAGATCGATACCATCCTGGTCAACGAGGTGAAACCCTGTCTCTACTAAAAATACAAAAATTAGCTGGGCATGGTGGTACGCACCTGTAGTCCCAGCTACTCGGGAGGCTGAGGCAGGAGAATTGCTTGAACCCAGAAGGCAGAGGTTGCGGTGAGCCAAGATCGTGCCACTGCACTCCAGTCTGGGTAACAACAGCAAAACTCCGTCTCAAACAAAAACAAAAACATGTATTCAAGCCGAATGCAGTGGCTCATGCCTGTAATCCTGGCACTTTGGGAGGCGGAGGCAAGAGGATCTCTCGAGCCCCAGAGTTCAATACTAGCTTGGGTAACATAGTGAGACCCCCGTCTCAACAAAAAATAAAGATTAACTGAGCATGGTGGTGTGCACCTGTAGTCCCAGCTACTTGGGAGGCTGAGGGAAGAGGAATGCTTGAGCCCAGGAGTTCAAGGCTACAGTAAGTTATGATTGGGCCATGGCACTCCAGACTGGGCAACAGATTATGCTCTTAAAAAAAATAAAAACTTAAAAAAAAAAAAAGTTTATTCATCCTTTTTTTTTTTGGAGACGGAGTCTCACTCTATCACCAGGCTGGAGGACAGTGGCATGATCTTGGCTCATCACAATCTCCGATTCCCTGGTTCAAGCAATTCTCCTGCCTCAGTCTCCCAAGTAGCTGGGAGGCACCCGCCACCATGCCAAGCTAATTTTTGCATTTTTAGTAGAGATCGAGTTTCACCATCTTGGCCAGGCTGGTCTTGAACTCCTGATCTTGTGATCTACCCGCCTTGGCCTCCCAAAGTGCTGTGATTACAGGCATGAGCCATGGCACCCTGCGAGACTCGGTCTTTTAAAAAAATTGGGGCCAGGAGTGAAAAAAACAAAATAAAATAAAAAAATTGGGGCCAGGCATAGCAGCTCATATCTATAATCCCAGCACTTTGGGAGGCTGAGGCAGGCAAATCACTTGAGGTCAGCAGTTCGAGACCAGCCTGGCCGAACTGGTATAAAAACCCCATTTCTACCAAAAATACAAAAAAATTAGCTGGGTATGGTGGCATGCACCTGTAGTCCCAGCTACTCAGGAAGCTGAGGCAGGAGAAACACTTGAACCCAGGAGGTAGAGGTTGCAGTGAGCCAAGATCGTGCCACTGCACTCCAGCCTGGGCAACAGAACAAGACTCCATCTCAAAAAATAAATTAAATAAATTTTTAAAAATTGGGACAATGTTTGAGGTTTGCTCCATAATAATCCAGGAAGGAGAAAGGCAGTAGATGACAACATTCAGTGGCTCTCTCGGCCAGAAACAATTTTGCCTCCCAGGGACACTGCACAATGCCTGGAGATATTTTTAGTAGTCACAACTGGAGGTTGCTACTGGCATCTAGTTGACAGATGCCAGGGATGTTGTTAAACATCCTGCAACTCACAGAAAGACCCCCACAGCAAAGGCTCATCCAGGCTTAAATGCCAACAGTATCAAGGTTGAGAAAACTAGAATAAATGCGACAAGAGTGCTACAGTTAAGCAACAGGAAGTGAAGGGTGAGGAAATTCAGAATTGGAAATTCATTAAGCTTGTCTATTTTATTTGAAAATTTTCATAATAGTGTTGCCTCATAATTTATTATTATTGTTTTTTGAGATGAAGCCTCACTCTGTTGCCCAGGCTGGAGTGCAGTGTAGCGGTACAAACTTGGCTCGCTGCAACCTCCACCTCCTGGGTTTGAGGGATTCTCCTGCCTCAGCCTCAGCCTCCCAAGTAGCTGGGACTACAGGCATGCCCCACCACGCCCAGCTGAATTTTCAGTATTTTTAGTAGAAATGGGGTTTTACCACGTTGGCCAGGCTTGTCTCGAACTCCTGTCATCAGGTGATCTGACCACCTCCTCCTCCCAAAGTGCTGGGATTAGAGGCATGAGCCACCATGCCTGTCCGGTTTTGCCTTTTCATTATTTTTTTAAATTAAAAAAAAAAATTTTGGTGTGCCCGCGGAGTAGACATCATGAGCAAAGCTCACCCTCCCGAGTTGAAAAAATTTATGGACAAGAAGTTATCATTGAAATTAAATGGTGGCAGACATGTCCAAGGAATATTGCGGGGATTTGATCCCTTTATGAATCTTGTGATAGATGAATGTGTGGAGATGGCGACTAGTGGACAACAGAACAATATTGGAATGGTGGTAATACGAGGAAATAGTATCATCATGTTAGAAGCCTTGGAACGAGTATAATGGCTGTTCAGCGGAGAAACCCACGTCCTCTCTCCATAGGGCCTGTTTTACTATGATGTAAAAATTAGGTCATGTACATTTTCCTATTAGACTTTTTGTTAAATAAACTTTTGTAACAGTCAAAAAAAAAAAAAAAAAAAAAAAAATTTTTGAGACAGTCTCACTCTGTCACCCAGGCTAGAGTGCAGTAGAGTGATCTCAGCTCACTGCAACATCCACCTTTTGGGTTCAAGCGACTCTCCTGCCTCAGCCTCCTGAGTAGTTGGGATTAGTAGTGTTCAACACCATGCCCTGCTCATTTTTGTATGTTTAGTAGAGACAGGGTTTCCCCATGTTGGCCAGGATGGCCTCCAACTCCTGGCCTCAAGTGATCTACCCACCTAGGCCTCCCAAAGTGCTGGGATTACAGGCATAAGCCACTGTACCCAGCCTTTGCTTTTTCAAAAAGGCACATCACAAAGCCCATATGGCTGGCCAGCTCAGAGTACAATGAATGATTAAGAGAGGCCGTGATGCTGGGCACAGTGGCTCACACCTGTAATCCCAGCACTTTGGGAGGCCAAGGTGGGCTGATCACAAGTTCAGGAGTTCAAGACCAGCCTGACCAACATGGTGAAACCCATCTCTACTAAAAATACAAAAATTAGTTGGGCATACTGGCACACACCTGTAATCCCAGCTGCTCGGGAGGCTAAGGCAGGAGAATCGTTTGAGCCCAGGAAGCAGAGGTTGCAGTGAGTTGAGATGGTGCCACTGCACTCCAGCCTGGGCAACAGAGTGAGGCTCCATCTCAGAAAAAAAAAAAAAAAAAAGGCCGTGGTTCAAATATACCAGGATGATCTAAAGTAAAAATGCAACATCTCCTTCTGTTAGCGCCCTGGACCTGACAAGCCAGAACAACAAAATATTCCTAACAAAAAGAGTATGGGATGTATAACAGGGGTCCAAAATGTATCGACTATTTTGTTATAACAAATAGTTTCTTTTTGACTAGTACTCTGTCAAGACTACAAATTAGAAATCTAAATATGATCTCAAACTATTTGGGCAAAACCACAAACCCACTCCCCACCTGCTCCTGTTAGAATAGGAACACACTTCTAAAACCTGTGGATTACTACAAAGGGGCTTTATATAAATTTGCTACAAGATCTGGTCCATGTCCATAGATAAATGTTAGGCAACTCCATTCTTTTCTGCCTCATTTTGCCATCTAACCTTATTGTTGTCTCAGCTCTAACCTCAATAATGTGTTCCTATATCCTTGGGAAACCAATGACCTTCCACTTCTTTCATACAACGTATCCAAATGCTCCTATTTATCATTCAGAATGTGTTGCCTCTGTGAAAAACAACAGAGACAGGGACAAGAAAGAATAGGGCCATTTTACCACATCAGAACAAGAGACTGAAACATACTTGTTTTGTCAATCAGGCTCTGAGCCTGCTCTTCCATCCATTTCTGATAGTAGTCTTTCACATTCTCTTTGTGTTTCCTACCACTGCAGTGTGTCTTTCTCACAGATGGCTGTAAAATAAAAAGATCATATCAGATGTAGAAACAAATGTCCAACACTAAAACTTAAAGTTTTACCTTTATATAAGTAGCATTAGCTGGCTGCTACAGTATTACTTATAAACATTATCCAGCAATGTACTGTGGTAAATTTTTTTATATATTATCTAGACCAGAGGTCAGCAAACTATGGCCCATAGGCCAGCCACTGGCTTTTTTTTTGTTTGTTTTTTTAAAAAAGGCCAGGCGCTGTGGCTCACCCCTGTAATCTCAGCACTTTGGGAGGCTGAGGATGGCAGATCGTTTGAGGTCAGGAGTTCAAGATCAGCCTGGCCAACATAGTGAAACCCTGTCTCTACTAAAAATATAAAAATTCGCTGGGCATAATGGTGGGCACCTGTAATCCCAGCTACTTGGGAGGTTGAGGCAGAAAAATCACTTGAAACCAGGGGAAGAAAGTTGCAGTGAGCTCAGATTGTGCCATTGCACTCCAGCCTGGGCGATAAGAGCAAAACTTCATCTCAAAAAAAAAAAGTATTGGAACACAACCACATTTATCTCTGCCTTTTTTTTTTTTGAACAGGATCTTGCTGTTACTCAGGCTGGAACGCAATAGCACGATCTCGGCTCACTGCAGCCTCAACCATTCAGGTTCAAGCAATCACCCCAGCTCAGCCTCCTGAGTCGCTGGGACTAGAGACACGAGCCACTATGACCAGCCAACTTTTTAATTTTTTGTAGAGATGAGGTCTCACGACGTGGCCCAGGCTGGTCTCAAACTCCTAACCTCAAGTAAACCTCCCACCTTGGCCTCCAAACATGCTGTGAGCTGACTGGTGGGAGCCACAGAGCCCAGCACATTTATTTCTATACTGGCTATGGCATCTCTCTACAAGGCAGAGTTGAGTAACTGCAGCAAAGGCTGTCTGTACCCAAACCTAAAATAATTATATTCCAACACATTAAGAAAAAAATGTGCAAGTCACTGATCTAGAACACAGGGCCATTTTAATGTCCTTTCTTAGGTTATTCCATGGCAAAATAATATAGCTTACATACAGTTAAATAACATTATGAAAATATGTTCTTTTCAATGACTAGGGGTCTAGAGTATAAACGCTATACAAATCACATAGAGCACTTTGTCGATAGTCCACTAATCCTTTTGTTCTTTAATAGCTTTATTGGGGTATAACTGACATACAATAAGCTCCACATTCAACCTTCTTTTAAGTTAACATTTACTGAACACTCACTATGTGTCAGGCACCCCTGACACATAGTATGACTATGTACTTTGCAGTGTCTCAATCTTCATGAAAATCACATGTGCATGTCACAACGGACTACTATTCAGAAAGAACAAATCACTGACATTTGCAATAGGAATGACTCTCAAAAACATTATACTGAGCAACAGAAGTCACACATAAAAACTATAGGGCCGGGAACTGTGGCTCACATCTGTAATCCCAGCACTTCGGGAGGCTCAGGCAGGTGTATCACTTGAGGTCAGGATTTCAAGGCTAGCCTGGACAACATGGTGAAACTCTGTCTACTAAAAATACAAAAATTAGCTGGGCAAGGTGGTGAATGCCTGTAATCCCAGTTACTCAGGATGTTGAGGCAGGAGAACTGCTTAAACCTGGGAGGCGGAAGTTGCAGTGAGCCGTTATTGCACCACTGCACTCCAGCCTGGGCAACAGAGTGAGATTCTGTCTCAAAAAAAAAAAAAAAAAAAAGGTATATACTATATATGGCAGATTGCATTCCCAGGAAGTTTGAAAACCAGTAACACTAATCTTTATTAAAGAAAACCAAGATCAATGGAGGTTAGGGGTACAGGAGACTAACTGCAAAGGAACACAGGAGAGCTTTCTGGAGTGATAAAAACATATTGTATCTTTTTTATTTTATTGTTGGGGATGGCATCTCACACTGTCACCCAGGCTGGAGTGCAGTGGCCTGAACACAGCTCACTGCAGCCTCAACCATCCAGGCTCAAGCAATCCTCCTGCCTGAAGAAACGCAACTCTCATTCAGATGCTCCTCATTGCTGCCTAACTACCTTGCTACTGCTATACTCACTCATTCTTGACATGACTACCTCAGAGGCAACAGATACTGAAAAGAGACTGTCTTTTCAGTCTGCATTTCAAATTACTGCTCTGCCAGCTGGGCAACATAGCGTCTCTTCGAAAAACAATTAGCCTGTTGTGGTGGCTCACATCTGTGGTCCCAGCTACTTGGGAGGCTGAGGTGGAAGGGACGTTTGAGCCCAGGAGATCAAGGTTACAGTGAGCCAAGATTGTGCCACTATACTCCAGCCTGGATAACAAAGCAAGATCCTATCTCCAAAAAAAAAATTGTTCCTTATCCTCCTAACCACTGCTTACATTAATACAACAACGATGCCTTAAAGCCTAAAAACAAAATCATGACTAACAGCCAGGCGAGGTGGCTCATGCTTGTAATCCCAGCACTTTGGGAGGCCGAGGCAAGTAGATGACCTGATGTCAGGAGTTCGAGACCAGTCTGGCCAACAAGGCAAAACCCTGTCCCTACTAAAAATACAAAAATTAGCTGGGTATGATGGCTCACACCTGTAATCCCAGCTACTTGGGAGGCTGAGGCAGGAGAATCACTTGAACCTGGAAGGTGGAGGTTACAGTGAGACAAGATCGTGCCATTGCACTCCAGCCTGAGTGACAGAGCAAGATTCTGTCTCAAAAAAAAAAAAAAGAATGGAGCGAACCTGTCACTTCAAGGAGATCAATGGATAGTATTGACAATGACAGAATTTGAGCTATAAAGCAAATATCAGAATTTCAGAAAATCTTATCTGCCACCATAAGCTTGACCACTTCCCAATACTTAAGGGTGGTTACGATTAGACTGTGACATTATTAACGTGGGTTGTCATTACCTAATCAAATGTGTCCATATTTGAAGCCTGGCACTAACTCAACTCAATCAACATTTTCCAAATAACCAATGCACATTACAAAATCGTAATACTAGAAGATCTACTCAAGTGCAAGATAAACTACTAAATTTTTTTTTTTTTTTAAGACTGAGTCTTGCTCTGTCACCAGGCTAAAATGCAGTGGCGCAATCTCAGCTCACTGCAACCTCCACCTCCTGGGTTCAAGCGATTCTTCCACCTCAGCCTCCCGAGTCGCTGGGACCTCAGGTGCTAATTTTTGTATTCTTAGTAGAGATGGGGTTTCACCATGTTGGCCAGGATGATCTTGATCTCATGACCTCGTGACCCGCCCACCTCGGCCTCCCAAAGTGCTGGGATTACAGGCATGAACCACTGCCAATTTTTTTTTTTTTTTTTTTTTTTAAGACAGGGTTTCACCATGTTGGTCAGGCTGGTCTTGAACTCCCGACCTCAGGTGATCCACGCGCCTTGGCCTCCAAAGTGCTTGGATGACAGGTGTGAGCCACCACACCACGCCCGGCCCACAATTTTTTTTTTTTTTAAGAGACAGGGTTACACTACACATTGCCCAGGCTGGTCTCAAATTAATAAACTTAAGTAATCCTTGCACCACAGCCTTCCAAGTAGCTGGGACTTAATGTAATTGTATGAAAAGTTTCATACAATTTCAGATTCCATATTGCAAATAACCACGTGTTGAGTTGCAGTACAAAAATATCCACAAATATCTAACAAGGCTATTAATGTACTCCTTTTTTCAACTATATACCCTGTGAGGTTGAATTTTCTTCATATACTTCAATCAAAAAATATATTGCAACAGATTTTATGCTGAAATCGTTGAGAATCCAGCTGTTTTCCACTAAGTCAGGCATGAGCATTTTGCAAAAATGTTAAAACAATGCCATTCTTTGTACTACTTTGTGGAAAATTGCTATTTTTCATGTCTAAAATGTTATACTACATGTAAAAAGCTTAATTTTAAGTGAATAAGCATTTTTTTGTTTATTATTATTATTGAAGCAGGGTCTCGCTCTGTCACCTAGGCTGGAGTACAGTGGCACATCATAGCTCCCTACAACCTCAAACTCCTAGACACAAGAGATCTTCCCACCTCAAGTCTTCAGCCTTCCCACCTCAGTCTTCAGATTAACAGGGACTACAGGCACACACCACCGCACCCAGCTAATATCTTTGTCTGTAGAGATAGCAACTCGCTATATTACCCAGGCTGTTCTGTACTCCTGGCTTCAAGTGATCCTCCCACCTCAGCCTCCCAAAGTTCTGGGATTACAGGTATGCGCCACTAACCCTGGCCAAATTTTTACATTTTAATTTCAAATACAGAAAATATTGACAGATATAATCCACATAACCCAATTTTAAAAATACATATAACCGGCCAGGTGCAGTGGCTCATGCCTGTAATCCTAGCACTTTGGGAGGCCAAGGTGGGTGGATCATTTGAGATCAGGAGTTTGAGACCAGCCTGGCCAACATGATGAAACCCTGTCTCTACTAAAAATACAAAAAAATTAGCCAGGCGTGGTGCCAGGTGCCTATAGTTCCAACTACTTGGGAGGCTGAGAGCAGGAGAATCACCTGAACCCAAGAGGCAGAAGTTGCAGTGAGCTGAGATTGTGCCACTGCATTCCAGCCTAGGCGACAGAGCGAGACTCTGTCCAGAAAACACACACACACATATATATATGTACATATCTCGAAATAATTTTTAAGAGTATAAAGAAGCTGGGTGCAGTGGCTTACGCCTGTAATCCCAGCACTTTGGAAGGCCAAGTTGGGAGGATAACCTGAGGTCAGGAGTTCGAGACCAGCCTGATCAACAAGGCAAAATCCTGTCTCTACTAAAAATACAAAAAATTTTCTGGAGGTGGTGGCAGGTGCCTGTAATCCTAGATATTCAGGAGGCTGAAGCAGGAGAATCACTTGAACCCAGAAAGCAGAGGTTGAAGTGGATGACATCCTGTCATTGCACTCCAGGGTGGGCAACAAGAGCGAAACTCCTCCTCAATAAAACCCGAAAAAACAAGTGTAAAGGGACCCTAAGGCCAACAAGTTTGAGCACTGCTGGTATAAAAGCTCTGGAGACAGACTGCCTAGGCCCATCTTCCAGCTCTATACCACTTACTGGTTTTGTGGCATCTAGTCAATTATTTATTCACTCTGCCTCAATGTCCTCCTTGGTAAAGTAGAGATAAAAGTACTAACAGGCCAGGTGCAGTGGGTAAGGCCTGTAATCCCAACACTTTGGGAGGCAGAGGTGGGCGGATCACCTGAGGTCAGGAGTTGCAGACCAGCCTGGACAACATGGAGAAATCCTGTCTCTACTAAAAATACAAAATTAGCTGGGCGTGGTGGCACATGCCTGTAATCCCAGCTACTCAGGAGGCGTAGGCAGGAGAATCACTCGAATCCGCGAGGCGGAGGTTGCGGTGGGCCGAGACCACACCATTGCAAACCAGCTTGGGCAACAAGGGCGAAACTCCATCTCAAAAAAAAAAAAAAAATTCTACTTCAGCTGCTGTTATTATTTGCTAAGCAGTTTTTTTGTTTGTTATCCAGGCTGGAATGCAGTGGCCTGATCATGCCACACTTAAGCCTGGACCTCAAGCTATTCTCTCACCTCATCCTCTTGCATAGCTGGGACTACAGGTACATCACTTTGCCCGACTTATCAAGCAGTTTTTAGTCAAAGTTACAGGAAAGGTCGGAAAATAATCTCCAATAGTTTCTCCAAGCAGTAGACCTTAAACCTCAGCAGGTGGTAAAGTACAAACTTGCATCTTTAAAAAAAAAACACAAAACTCATTTCATTATTACACATTAGGCTTTTTGAAACTGAATAGATACGCCACTTACAGAGTCATGGGTGAGGTATGTATCGCAGTAGTCACAATAAAACCTGAAAAGAGGTGGAAGAGAAAAAGAGAAGATGACAACCAGTTAGATACCCATCCACGGAAGCGCTGTTCATGGAAGATAAAAACAAAGAAACAAACAAAAAGCCCGACCTCGTCAGGACTCAAAGGTGTCAGACAAAGCGTCGACACATAAACCAGGCTTTTTTTGTTGCCTTAAGCGGGATCCATCTCCATTCTAAAAAAAGGGTGTCTACCCTCTTCCATCTTCCTACCTCCGTCCACCCGCCCAGATCCTCTCCTATCCCTCGAGGTTTCAGAAACCAGAAAAAGCTCTCCGCTCCTGCATGAGGGCCACAACTAGTCACTACCATCACCCTCAAATTTCAGGGCCCCACTCACTTGGGCATGTTGCTCGGCAAGCCGTTGGCCACTCCGTTCCGTGACGCCCGGAAATGACGCACACAGCCAGTGCCGACACCGCGGAAGCCCAAGAGACTAGCGCGAAAACTTTGAAGCCCTACCCTCCTGCTGCCGAGCGAGGGGCGGGGCTTTTCCTTTCCTTCCTTTCGCTTATAGGAGGGCGGAAAGGAGGAGTACTACGGAACGCTACGAGGTTCAAGCCCATTTAATCTTGTTTCTCGATGCTTCCGGAAGAGCTTATTTATTCTTTCTCTAAATATCTAATGAGTCTCTGCCGCGCGCCTGGCGCTGCTATAAATGCTGAAAAAAAACCAGCAGTGAACTAAACAGACAAAAATTCCTGTCCTCGTGGAGTTGGCATTCTAGTGGAACAAGACAGATGTTAAAACCAATAGCCGGCGCGGTGGCTCGCGCCTGGAATCTCAGGTACTCGGGAAGCCTAGGCGGAAGGATCCCTTCCAGAGTTGGGAGTTGGGAGTTGGAGACCAGACCTGGGTAAGATAGCGAAACCCTTGTCTCTACAAATAATTTAAAAATTAGCCGGAGACCTGTGGTCCCAGCTACTCGGGAGACTGAGATGGGAGGATCGCTTGAACCCAGGAGGTCGTGGCTGTAGTGAGCCGTCACTGCACTCCAGGATGGGTGACAAAGTGGTACCCTATCTCAAAAAAATAATAAATATTTATAGTAGTCGGTTAGGTGGAGCAAAGTGAAGCAGAGAAGAGGAGAGTCCAACTTTATAGAGGATAGAGAAAGGTTATCGCTTGTCTTTTTTAAATTTATTTTTTATTTTTGTTTTTGAGAAATGTTATCTTTACACAGCTAACTACAATCACCATGTCAAGTAAAAAAATAAATAAGAGAAATGTTATCTTTACGAAATGACAACTGAGAAATTACTGTTCTTGTTAGCGCAATAAAACCAAAACCAAGTGCAAGTGGCTCTATATATAATGTATTTTTTTTTCTTTTTTTGAGACAGAGCCTCGCTCTCTTGCCCAGGCTGGAGTGCAGTGGCACAGTCTCGGTTCACTGCAACCTCCAACTCCCGGATTCAGGCAATTCTCTCCCTCAGCCTCCCCAGTAGCTGGGATTACAGGGGCCTGCCACCACACTTGGCTAATTTTTTTTTTTTTTTTTTTTTTTTTTAATTTTTAGCAGAGACAGGGTTCACCATCTTGGCCAGGCTAATCTTCAACTCCCGAGCTCGTGATCCACCCGCCTCAGCCTCCCAAAGTACAGGGATTGCAGGCGTGAGCCACGGCGCTGGGCCTATATCACGTCTTTTTAAAGTCTCATTAACCCCAGAAATCACCAATTTCAAGACCCATCTCAGTGCTTCCTTAGCTATGCCACTTGAGCAAATTATTTACTGTTTCTGAGCCTCAGTTTCCTCATCTGAAAATTATGGGTAATCTTGTAGGGTTTAAGGAAGAATTACATGTGAAGATGCTTGTAAAGTGTTTAATGCAAAGTACACACTAGGCCCTCCACAAATGGTAGTTATTACATAGGAAGAAATTGATAGAAGTAACTTGGCCACAGATATCACCTAGCAACAAGGCCAAATTTCCAGTCTGGTCTATCAGACTCAAAAATGGCCTTTCTCCTTATAGAAAAAGGAAATATTAAGAAGTGTTGGGACCTGTGGAGAGGGAGCTTTTTGTTTTTGTTCTTCTGCACTACAATCTCTGAGAGTAGAATTGCAGCCAAATAATAGTAATAATTGCTAGTTTATTTAAATGTTTACTATGTCATAGGTTCTTTAAATGCCTTAATTTACTGAATCCATTCAACAACCCCATGTATTCACATTTCAGATGAGGAAACTGACCTTTAGAAGAAGTAAGCACCACAAAAATTACTTCCTGGTCCTAAGGCAAAAGTTAATGAAGTTCTCAGGCTCTTACCACCCTAATACCATGGTAAATCTTGACATAATTAATGGTTGAACAACCAGATAATGTGTCTCCTGCTGGGATGACAACATTAAGTAGATACCATCAACTATGACTTTTTTGAGAGAGAGGGTATAGATAGAATGCAGCGGTTCTATCACAGCTCACTTCAGCCTCAGCCTCCCGGGATCAAGCAGTCCTCCCTCTTCGGCCTTCCAAGTAGCTGGGACTACAGGCACGTGCTACCATACCCTTGTTAATTTTTCTAATTTTTTACAGAAGCAGGATCTCAAACTCCTGACTCCAAGCAATTCTTTCACCTCAGCCTCCCAAAGTTCTGGGATTACACGTGTAGGCCACTACACCCAACAACTATGATGTATTATCAAAATGTTTAGTACCCACAAAAATTAAAAATAATTTTAAAAAATGTTTGACCTAGATCTAATCAAGTTAACAGGATAAGCTATAGGATCAGCTAAAGGAAAGCAAAAGGCAGCAAACAAATTCTAGAGGTAGGACATTGTAAGGACAACTGGCCTCTTTGCTTCACCAACTTAGGAAAAGGTGTTTTTCTACATTTAAATATTAAGAGACATAACAACCACATGTAGTGTAGCATCTAGATCTAGATCCTCGTTCAGACAAACCATCTATAAAGGACATTTTGCAGAAAATGCCTGGGTCTTAATGTTGCAGTTCCAGAAATCCACCTTTGTCCAGATACCCTCAGTTGATTTTCCTCGAGGGAATGGATTCATCAGTTAAGTTGTTCGTTTTGTTTTGGGTTTTGGGTTTTTTTTGAGACAGGGTCTCACTCTGTCACCCAGGCTGGAGTGCAGTGGTGTTGCTATCTCAGCTCACTGTAACCTCTGCTTCCTGAGTTCAAGAGATTCTCATGCCTCAGCCTCCCAAGTAGCTGGAATTATAGGCACGTGCCACCACGCCCAGCTCATTTTTTTGTATTTTTAGTAGAGACCGGGTTTCACCATGTTGGCCAGGCTGGTCTCGAACTCCTGACCTCAAATGATCTGCCATTCTCAGCCTCCCAAAGTGCTGGGATTACAGGCATGAGCCACCATGCCCAGCCTATCAATTATGTTTTGATTTCTGCCTTGATTTCTCTGTGTGCTGATCCTGGCCTTTTTTGCCTTCAAGTCTATTTTTCACCTTTCCCCTGCTCTTTCAAAAATGGCAGTGGAAGCCAGGTGCAGTAGCTCACACCTGTAATCCCAGTTATTCAGAAGGCTGAGGTGGAAGGATCACTTGAGCCCAGAAGTTGGAGGCTACAGTGAGCTATGTTCTGGCCCCTGCACTCCAGCCTGGGCAATGGGGAAAGACTCTATATTTAAACAAGCAAACAAACAAAAAGCCAGGCCCGGCGCGCTGGCTCACACCTGTAATCCCAGCACTTTGGGAGGCCGAGGCAGGTGGATCATGAGGTCAAGAGATCAAGACCATCCTGGCCAACATGGTGAAACCCGGTCTCTACTAAATACAAAAAAATTAGCCGGGCATGGTGGCACATGCCTGTAATCCCAGCTACTTGGGAGGCTGAGACAGGAGAATCGTTTGAACCCAGGAGGCGGAGGTTGCGGTGAGCCGAGAATGCGCCATTGCACTCCAGCCTGGGCAACAAGAGCGAAACTCCGTCTCAAAAAAAAAAAGCTAGGCACAGTGGCACACACCTGTAATTCCAGCACTTTGGGAGGCCGAGGCAGGCAGATGACAAGGTCAAGACATCAAGACTATCCTGGCCAACATGGTGAAACCCTCTCTACTAAAAATACAAAAATTAGCTGGGCATGGTGGTACATGCCTGTAGTCCCAGCTACTCGGGAGGCTGAGGCAGGAGAATTACATGAACCCAGGAGGTGGAGGTTGCAGTGAGCTGAGATCATGCCACTACCCTCCAGCCTGGCAACAGAGCAAGACTCTGTCTCAAAAAAAAAAAAAAAATTAATTGGTGGACTGACTCCATGAAGGCTGCATGGCCTGGACTCCTGTCCTAGTTGACTTCCAAGCTGAATTGCTAGGCTCCATCAGATGAATGCATTTTCTGGAGATAAGAGTGATCAAAGAAAAAGCCAGAGTACCTTTTATCCCTATGCCACCTCCAAGCCAGAGTATCCATCCTTTCCCCACCCCTCAACATCAGGCTGTCTCATATAGCCTCCTTGGATCTAACTTCTAGCAGATAAACCTAGACCCTGGGCTCTGGTAGAACAGTGTTGTCCTTCTGTCCCTCCAGTGTAAGGATGGCAGTAGCTTCTTGCTGTCACTCATCCCTGTCTGGGCTATTTGACTATTCTCTGTTTGGCTTTTTGTCTCTGCCAACACCTGTATAAACCAAATATCTGAATTAAGTTCCCTGTGTTTTAAAGACTTGGAATGGTATTCCTGGTTGGACCTTGACATATATATATATATATATATGCTCAGTGACCTTATCTCTTTTTTTTTCTTCTTTTTCATTTTAGTAACAGCGGATCTCTCTGCAGATGTGACCTTATCTCCAAGTTCCAAGGGGTTTCTCTATCATGTTCTTCCCATGGGCCCTGCTATCTTATAAAGCAGTGCTTTTCACACTTTTTCTCTGAAAGTCCCAGGCAACTGAGAGAGTTCATTTGTCACCCTCATTCCTCTAGGTCTACAGCCAAAATCCCAAGTGCCCACCTGAGCTTGAAATGCCCTTCAACTCTTGTGTTCTTGTATGGTGTTTTAAAAACTCATGATGTTTGTAATGTACTTCATAACACATCTATGTTGTTCTTAAGGTATTTTACACTTAAAATGTATTTTATTTACTTATGTTTGAATAGGTAGTATATACACATGGTGGAAAATTAGAAAACCACAGAAATGTTCCCCAGCCACACCCTTGTTCCCAGTTTCTTTTTTCTTTTCTTTCTTTTTTTTTTTTTTTTTTGAGAGGGAGTCTTACACTGTTGGCTGGGCTGGAGTTCAATGGCATGATCTCGGCTCACTGCCACCTCCAGCTCCCAGGTTCAAGCAATTCTCAGGCCTCAGCCTCCCTAGTAGCTGAGATTACAGGCATGTGCCACCATGCCCAGCTAATTTTTATATTTTCAGTAGAAACAGGGTTTCACCATGTAGGTCAAGCTGGTCTTGAACTCCTGACCTCAGGTAATCTGCCTGTCTCAGCCTCCCAAAGTGCTGGGATTACAGGTGTGAGCCACTGCACCTAGACCAAATGCCTTTTTATATTCTTTGCCCCTTTATCTGTTATATCATTAGTCTCATCTTTTTGTTATTGATTTGTAGAGAGTACTTTATATATTAAGGAAATTTTTTTTTTGAGATGGAGCCTTGCTCTGTCACCCAGGTTGTAGTGCAGTGGCACAATTTCAGCTCACTGCAACCACTGTCTCCTGAATTAAAGTGATTTTCCTTCATCAGCCTCCTGAGTAGCTGGGTTTCAAACTCCTGACCTCAAGTGATCCACCCACCTTAACCTCCCAAAGTGCTAGGATTACAGGTGTAAGCCACCAAGCCCTGCCTGAGCCACCATGCCCAGCCATATATTAAGGAAATTAACTCCATGCCTCTTATATGGTTTGCAAATATTTTTTCATT